GCACGCGTAAGTCCTACGTAAGCAGTATAAGTGAATTTGGACAACGCAGCTGAGACCCCTTCCCTACTCAAGCCCGAATCCTTATCATAACTCTGGAAGACCTAATGGTCTCACATTACAAATATAAACCATTCCTTTAAAGCCCTCAGCACCTGGAGGAAGCTGTCCGCTGGTAGCTTACCGCGGCTGGAGAAGCAGGAAGTTGACCGGACCTCGGGAAGGGTCCAGAGACACTTCCGGGCTACTCTAGGATAGCGTTGATAGGGCACCTCTATGGTTCCCGGAGCCGCGCACGCGCAGAGGGGCAGCAGGACTATGGCACTGTCTTCTGACTTGACTTGATTTTTGGGAAGAGGAAGCTGAAGTCATTCAGTTTCCGGGATCCTACTCAAAGCTGTATCTGTCCTGCGCATAGGCGGTCCAGTATGAGGGCACACGCTAGAATTGTTGTAGTTGGTGCTACCGAATTGCATATTTTAAAATAGTTAGATGGGCCAGGCGACAACTCACGTCTTTATAGTCAGTGCTCAGGCTGGGCATGGTGGCACAGGCCTTTAATCCCTCATTTGAGAGACCTAGGTTGGTGGACGGCTGTGAGTTCAAGGCCAGCCTGGTCTACAAAGTTAGTTCCAGGACAGCCGGGACTGTTGCACAGAGGAATCCTGTTTTGAAAAACCAAAAGAAAAGAAAAAAATCCAAAAAACAAAAATAACAAAAACAGCACTCGTGAGGTACAGGTAGGCAGATCTGTATGACGTGTAGGCCAGCCCGGCTTAGATATTCAGTTTCTGGGCAGTCATCGGGACCATGCCGATGCCTGTGGCCTGCACTAAGTGAGACCCTGTTTTAAAAATAAAACCCCTAGAAATTCTAGCAAATTTTGACAAAATCTGACACAAATTTTGCTATATTTTCTTTTGAGTGACCTAAACAGACCCCTTTGGTTGTTTTACCTCTCTATTATTTCCTAAGATTTATTTTTTATTTTATGTGTGTGGTTGTCTTGCCTGTATGTATGTGTGTCTGTGTAACACTGTGTGCCTGGTGCCTGTGCCCTGGAACTAAGGTTGCAGACAGTTGTGAGCTGCCTTACAGGTGCAGGGAATCAAACCCCTGGGTCTTCTGGAAGAGCAGCTAGTGCTCTGAGCCACCTCTCCAATCCCTCATCCATTCATCCATCCATTCATTTTAAATTTTCTGTATATGTAGTTTTGCCTGAATATTGTATGTGCTTGACATACACACCTGATCAGAGGCCAGAAAAGGGTATTGGATTGAAACCAGGGACAACTGTAAGCTGCCTCATTCCCTCTTGATTGCTTCAACACTTTACAAACCCGATTTACAAACCAAAGTGACTTCAATTTTCCAGAGGTTCTACCTCAAAGATTCTATCCATCATGGGGCTCGGCAAAGCCATTGAAGCCCACCTCATCCCAAGCCCCATATCAACCCTCTTTTTTTTTTCTTTTTTAAGATAGGGTCTCACTATGTAGTCCTAGCTAACCTAGTATATAAACCAGGTCTGCCTCAAACTCATAGAGAACCACCTCCCAAAGGCGTACACAAGCAACCCCTTTTTAAACTCTACTGTGGGGCTGGAGAGATGGCTCAGAGGTTAAGAGCACTGACTGTTCTTCCAGAGGTCCTGAGTTCAATTCCCAGCAACCACATGGTAGCTCACAACCATCTGTAATGAGATCTAGTGCCCTTTTCTGGCATGCAAGCATACATGGAAGGAATGTTGTATACATAATAAATAAATCTTTAAAAAAAATAAAAATAAACTCTACTGTGACATGTGATGTGAACGAGATGTCCCCTGTATTCTCAGGCATTTAAATACTTGGTCCTCAGTTGGTGATGCTGCTTAGGAGAGCTTAGGAGGTACGTCTTGCTGGAGAAAGTACATCCATAGAGGTGAGCTCTGAGAGTGTACAGACTCTTGCCAGTTGCGTGTGGTGGCCCATATTTCTAATCTTAGCTCTCAGGAGACAAAGAAGTATCGCTGAGTTTGTGGTCAACCTAGTCTACATAGTGAGTTCTATATAAGGCAAGGCTATATAGAGAGACTGTCTCAAAACAAAAAAAAAATAATTGAATTAAAAATAAAGATGCGGGACTGGAGAGATGGCTCAGTGGTTAAGAGCACTGACTGCTCTTCTAGAGGATCCGGGTTCAATTCCCAGCACCCATGTGGCAGCTCATGTGGTAATTCCAATATCTGGAATACATTCAGGCAAAACACTAATGCATATAAAATAAGAATAAAAGTTATAAAAATATTTTGAAAAATATAAGGATGCTTGACATTTAGAGTTCACTCTCTCTGCTTCCTTTTGGGGTTTGAGACATAAACCCTCAGCCCTCAGCTTCCAGCTCCAGGTGCCTTGCCTGCTTGCTGCACTGCTTCCCCACCTGATGATTGACCTATCCCTTGGGAACCATAAACCCTGCCTTGGACATGATGCTTTATCATAGTAACAGGACGGTAACTGAGGCAGAAGCTGGGACAAGGGAGTCGTCTCTTACTATGAAGGGCTTAGCATATATTTTTTGAAGAAATTTGGAAGGCTTTGGGACTTTGAGCTAGAAAACTGGTTAAATTGTTATGTAGAAAAATGAATTTTTAAAAAAGATTAATTTATGTGTGTGAGTGTGCCATCTGCATGTGTGCCTACACATCAGAGGAGGGCATCAGATCCCATTAGAGATGGTTGTGAGCCAGTATGTGGTTGCTGTGATTTGAACTCAGGTCCTCTGGAAGAGCAGCCAGTGCTCTTAACTGTTCAGCCATCTCTCCAGCCCAAATGTTTTAATTGTTGTGCTGCCCAAATCCACTGGGAGAAACCAAGACTTAGTTTCAATTTAAATTTAAATTAAATGAATTTATCCTTTGTTTTTCTGAGACACGGTTTCTCTGTGTAGTCCTGGTTGTCTTAGAACTAGCTCTGTAGATCAGGCTGGCTTCGAACTTACAGAGGTTTACTTACCTCTGACTCCCAAGTGCTGGGGTTAAAGGTATGTGCCACCACGGCCTGCTCCATCTTCTGTTTTTTATAGTTAGCCCTCCTCCAAACCCAATTTGAGCAGCCAAGGTGCTTTACAAAACACAACCCCAGGGTAGAAGTGTGGCTCAATGACAGGAATAAGGCAAGGCCCAGAGTGCCAATCCAAGCTCAAACTCTGGGAAGAAAAACACTGAAGAAAACCTAAACATCCCTGTAAGGTTCTCCTAGTGGCATCCCATATTCTAGAAAAAAAACGCCAAATCCTAACTGGGTTTACAAGCTGTGGCCCATGCGCCACTCTCCCATCTCATTCCCTGTACCCCAATTCCAGCGTCCTGAGTCATGACACAGTGCTCCACAGCCTGAGCCATTCCCCTCCTGACAGTGGCCTCAAAAGGTCTGTTAGGCAGACATTCAGGAGCAGAATTGAGGAACACACATCGGGAGAACACAGATGGTTTGTGGTTCCTTCCCTTGGTCCAGACTGTCCATTCTCTGGCCTCCCCTGGCTGGTAAAGTGCTAGTGTGGTATGGAGCCTGCCCCACAGGATGGTTTGTGAGTTGGGCAAGGGGCTGGAGATTGAAGCACACACACATACACACACAGAGGGGGGGGGGGCATCCTTGAAACAAGATGCTTATATAGGGCTCTCCTTGACTAATGGCCATGCCCTAACTGTCGGGATTTTTCAGCTGCAAGCCCACCAGAAACCACTCCCCTGCCATCAGGCACTCATGAGGGTCTTGTGCTCAGAGCAGCTGCAAGCACAGGAAAACAAGTTGTTTACTCCGGCAGGTAAGGGGTCACAGGAAATTCAGGGTCTGAGGGTCTGCAGTCCCCAACAGTGTAGGTCTGCTGTTTGTGATTGAGGGAGAGGAGGCGCATGGTGCTTTCTTATCAATCCTCTACCTGGGGTGTTGATGTACACATCTGCACATTAGTTCTTTTTATAATTTATTTTTTAATATTTATTTATTATGTATACAATATTCTGTCTACATGTATGCCTGCAGGCCAGAAGAGGGCACCAGACCTCATTACAGATGGTTGTGAGCCACCATGTGGTTGCCGGGAATTGAACTCAGGACCTTTGGAAGAACAGACAGTGCTCTTAACCACTGAGCCATCTCTCCAGCCCCGGAAGAACATTTTCAGATAACTAGCTCGGATTTTAGAATGAGAGATATTCTGGGTCACATAAGCAAGCTCCTGCCCCCAACATGACTTCAAGCCCTCGTCAGGTGGTCATGGTACTTCTACATTGGTATCTACATTTCTGCATTGGTATTTTGCCTGCATGTCTGTGTGAGTGTGTCAGATCCCCTGGAGGTGGAGTTACCTGCAATTGTGAGCTTTCATGCAGGTGCTAGGAATTGAACCCAGGTTCTCTGTGAAAACAGCCCGTGCTCTTAACCACTGAGTCATCTCTCCAGCTCCTGGCCATGGTATTTCTAAACCTAGCATTGGTGTATTCCTAATGCTGGCCTTCCATCCCCACATAAAAAGCATTCAGGAACTATACCTGCCTCTCAAAATAAGGGGGATGGGGTCCTGAGTGGCTGTGGTGGAGGACAGATTTTCAGAGGCATCAACTGGGGGTAAGGCTGTAAGTCAGTGGTAGAGCACTTGAATAGCACACTTCAGCCCTCGGTTAGTACCTCAGACAGGACACCGAGAAGGGATAAGCAGAAGTGAATTCTAGCATCTTTGCTTTTGGCTCCCTTTTCAATGAGTTACAGGATTATTTCCTTATTGAAGTTATGTTAAGTAACTGGTCCAGAGGGAAGACATTTGGGGTTACTTCTTCTGTAAACGCAGGGTCTCGGTGACTGTTTGCATCTTCCTGGGTGCTGGGATGGCAAGTATGTACCAGTAGACCCGGATTTGGTGGCTTCACTCAAGCTGCTTCTTACAAGAAATCCTGATACCGATTTCTCATCTGTAGGACAGAGATCTCCTCTGAGTTCAAAACACAGCTACACTTGGAGTGTGACACACACTTTATTTAATGGGTGAATGCCAAACATTACAGAAACAAAACATTATTTTCATAAGTAGAATATTTTTTGAGAACAAATCTGAATCTTCCCCAGCAGTCTCAAGTTTCTGTTAGCATAAATTACTCAAATAAAATAAGGCTTCAGGTTTATTCAGTTCCATATTTATAGTGTGGCGGTCTGAATGAGAACGGCCCCATAGGCTTGTATGTGTGAACACTGGGCCCTCAGTTGGTGGAGCTGTTTGGGAATTATTAGGAGGTGTGGTCTTGAAGGAGGTGTGTCACTGGGGGTGAGCTTTGAGTTTCAAATGCCTCTCCATTCCCTCTGCTTAGTCCTCTCTGCTTAGTAACTGTCTCAAGATGTGAGCTCTCAGCTACTGCTCCAACACCACGCCTTCCTGCCTGTCTGCTGCCCTGCCCCCACCGTGATAGCCATGATGCTCCCTGGAACTGTAAGCCCCAAATAAACTTTTTAAATTTACCTTGCCTGTAGTGTCATCACAGCAATAGAGAAGTGACCGAGACACTTAGGTTAACGATTTACCCCATGTGGATCTTTTGGTGCTGAGTGAGCCTGGAGCTCCGATTAAAAGCTTTGCCACAAGTGTTACATGTGTAAGGCTTCTCTCCTGTGTGGATCCTCTGGTGTATGATCAGGTGTGAGCGCCACCTGAAAATCTTGTCACAGTCGTCACACTGGTGCAATTTCTTTACAGTGTTCACTTTTTTAGAATTCAAAAAAGTGTTACTTTCAACCGCGTTTCCAAATTCACAGTACCACTGGGCTCGAGTGTGGATCCTCTGGTGTTCAATGAGGTATGAGCTCCGGCTGAAGGCCTTTCCACACTCACTGCACTCATAGGGCTTCACTCCAGCATGGATTATCTGGTGTTGGAAAAGGGTTGAATTTTGACTGAAGGCTTTTCCACACTCGTTACACTTATAGGGTCTCTCCCCGGTGTGAACCCTCTGGTGGATGGTGAGCTGCGTGCTCATACCGAAGGCTTTCCCACACTGCGTGCACTCGTACGGCTTCTCTCCCTTATGGATCCTCTGGTGATAAATGAGGCTGGAGCTCTGGCTGAAGGCCTTCCCGCAGTCATCGCACACGTAAGGCTTCTCCCCGGTGTGGATTCGCTGGTGCTGAATAAGATGGGAGCCCTGGACAAAGCCCTTCCCGCAGTCGTCACATTTAAACGGTTTTTCCCCTGTGTGAGTTCTCTGGTGGCGAATGAGCCGGGAGCTACAACCGAAGGCTTTGGTGCACCTGTTGCACTTGTAAGGTTTCTCTCCGGTGTGGATCAGCCGGTGCTGGCTCAGGCGAGACACCCACCTGAAAGCTTTGCCACACTCCTCACACTTGAATGGCTTCTCTACAGTGTGATTTCCCTCGGGGGCAACGAGGCTTGAGTTCCCTGAAGTTCTTGGCATTTGAGATTTCTCCCCACTATGCATCCTCTGATGCTGGGCTAGAGTTGAGCTCTGGCTGAAGGCCTTGCCACACTCCTGGCAGGGGTAGGGCCTCTCCCCAGTGTGAGTCCTTTGATGTCTGACCAGCTGTGATTGCTGGCTGAAGGCTTTCCCACACTCTTGACAACTATAGGGCCTCTCTCCTGTGTGGATTCTCTGATGATGGATAAGGCTTGAGCTCTGACCAAAGGTTTTCCCACACTCCTCACATCTGTAGGGCCTCTCTCCTGTGTGGATTCTTTGATGCTGAATCAGTTTTGAGCTCAAACGGAAAGCTTTCCCACAATCAACACATTTAAATGGTTTCTCTCCGGTGTGGATTCTTTGATGCTGGTTGAGTTGTGAGCACAGCCTGAAGACTTTCCCACATTCCTTGCATTCATAAGGCTTCTTCCCAAGGCAGTTACTTGTGTGCGTCTCCTCTAAGCAGTCAGCTAGGTTTCTTCGGCACTCTTGACATCTGTATGCTTTTCCCTGTCCACTCACTTCCACATAGGGATCCAGGTTGAGAGTTGGTTTAAAGACTCTACCACACTCTTCGCAGTTTTCTGATGTCCCTTTCACACTGTCTCTCTGTTCATCAGGCTGAGAACCCAGAACAGTGGCCTGTAGCTCCTTGCATTCCTGGACAGTGTCCTGGGGAGCCATAGTCTCATTACTGAGATGATGTTGCTGGGAAAGGGAGCCACTCACTCCTAGGCCAAGGCTATTCGAGCAGTTCTCCGACAAGACCGTGGAATCCAAATGGTCTCCAAAGGCAGGAATCTGCTTTTCGGGAATATTCATGTACTCACAGGTCTGCTTGTGATTGGTTCTAATAGTAGAATCTGAAATAAGCACAAAGTAAAAACGTTCTTGACATCTGAGCTCAGGGAGAAGGCAAAGATGAACAGTGCCTTGTGGGAGTGTCAGCTCTACAACACCCCAGTGGAAAGTGTGGCAAGGAGATAGAAGGGGAAATGCTCACAATTTAGTTCACCGGACAGTGATGGCATACTCTGTCTACAAGGCAGAGGGCTGAGAGTTTCATGTCCTAAGAGGGTCTACAAGAAGTGTTTCACCCTATAGGGCACTGAGGAGGGAATATCTTAGAGTAAGCAAAACAGACTGGACAGAACAAGTCTGAGGACAGAATTCATCAGAGCAGGTCAGCGACCTACAAACATGCTAGCTGGCAAGTGAGGACATCGGGGGTGTCTGACCAAAAAACAGACAGGAATGTTGAGACCCCAGCTGAAGAAGAGGTGGTATCTTAGCAGGAAGATCCCAGAGCAGAACTGGGTGCTCAGCCTATCCATGGCTGGCCTCTAAGGTGGACTTCTCTGAAAAGAACTCAAATTGCAAACCCACATCTGGCAAGCCTTGCTATAGGTGTGATGGTCACTGTCACGTTGGTACAGTCTAGGATTACCTGGAAAGAGGGAACCTCGACTAGAAACTGCCCAGGTCAGGTTGGCCTGTGGCCATCTGTGAGTTTGTCTTGATTGATGATTTATTATGGACAGACCTAGGCAGTTTTATCCAGACTGCACAAGGAAGTGGGATGAACACAACCGGAGTGTAAGATGGGAAGTGGTGGTCATCCATTGTGCTTCAGTTTCTGCCCTGACTTAGGGCCTGGAAATGTAAACCACAATGAACCCTTTCCTTCCGAAGCTGATTTTAGTTAGAATGTTTGATCATGTGACAAACAGATGCAAACACCAAGCCACTGGCTGAGTGACCATATCTAGTAGTTAACACTGATTTTTCTCCCTGAGCACCTAGACCAAGAGGCCTTTGTGATATCTACTTTCCTTCTAGACTCTCCAAATCCCACAGGCTGCCTTCCTGTCCTGACCCCACAGGCCAGATTTCTCTATGACCGTTAATTACAAGACACATAGTAGTTAAATGGACAAGTGTTTTGTGCCCCTGCCTTCCCATAAGTGGCCACACACCTAGCTGTGGTTCTTTCTAGGGTTGGTCCTCTTGCAGTGTTCTTTAGCAGCCCAGCCTGGTCACCAGCACTCACCCCAGTTCCTTCTTATTCAGACCTTCTGTAACAGGGCCTAGGCCTTACCTGTCTTGCAAATCCATGGGGCCTCTGTCCCCTCTGCTCCCTGTAGGTCAAGGACCCATGGCTCTTGTCCTTGCTCCAGTCGAGAGATCAGTTCAGGCTTAAAGACCAGGAATCCTGCTGTGTGAGGCAGAGAAGGAGAGGATGAAAACGGCCAGGAGTCAGTTCTGCTCCTCGCTCCCAGTCATGAAGAACAGGAGCTGCTAGACTATGCAGAACCTATCGGGAGGGTGATGAGGGACGAGGCTGGATACACAGCAGCCCCTTCGCTCTAGCTCCTTAGATTAGACAGGAGGGGCACCCAGACTTCCACAGTCTTCAGGGAACACTGTCACTGAAGAAGAGGCCAGATCTAGTTGGGGTACAAGAGGCATAGGAAGCTTAAGCCCAAGACAGCACCACATTCTGCAAAGCCACGGCCGTTTCTTCCCCCGGTTCAAAAGACAAGGATACTCCAAGAGGTAGGGGTAGCCAAGAAAAAAAAACTTAAAATTAGTAAGCAATTAAATAAATGAAGAAGATTTCAAATCACAAGTAGTGGATCCAGACTCCCTTTATGGCCAGTTCATAGAAGTGAGGAAGGTGTTGATCCAATCAGGGATCCACAAAGCGGGCCTAGACAGATGGCTCAACAGTGAAGAGCATTTGCTCCTCTTCCAGGTCATTTCCTAGCACCTACACAGCAGCTCTCAAACATCTATAATTCCAGTTCTAGCAGGTTCACAGACATACATGTAGGCAAAACACCCATACACGTTGAAAAAAAAAGATAATAATGTTTGGAGCTTCCCTCAGGCTTCCCACAACATGGAAAAAGAGGCCAGGCGTCTTTGAGATCCATCAGCCGTGTCTAACCTGCAGCCCACTGTTAAACAAATGGTACAGTAATAGGTTCAAGTTTAAGTAAAGGCAGGGCCCCACGCTCATCAGAAAACAGACTGCATTTTTTTTTACAGCACAACCCACCGCATCCAGCACATCATCTTGTTTTTTTTTTTTATTTTTTTAAATATTTATTTATTTATTTATTAAGTATACAATGTTCTGTCTCTGTGTATGCCTGAAGGCCAGAAGAGGGCACCAGACCTCATTACAGATGGTTGTGAGCCACCATGTGGTTGCTGGGAATTGAACTCAGGACCTTTGGAAGAGCAGGCAATGCTCTTAACCACTGAGCCATCTCTCCAGCCCCAGACTGCATTTCTTAAAAAGAAAAGAAATCTGACCAAAGTTAACATGAGAAGAGGAGAAAATATGCAAGTATTGTTAGGTATATTTTTTTCTATTTTTTTTTTTCTGAGACATGGTTTCTTTGTGTAGCCCCCACCTGCCTCTGCCTCCCGATGCTGGGATTAAAGGTGTGTGTCACCACCGTTAGCCTCCTAGCAACCTGGTGGTAGAAAGGACAGGCTGCCAGTGTGCACGTGTGGGTGTGGCTAGAATCTCAGTTAACCAGTGCTGCAGCTGAACAATAGCATCATCACAGAGAGACATGCAAGTCATTTACCCTGCACTCTTCCAGACTCTCCTATGCTGGTGCCATGGTACACATACACTTATCATCTCAGCAACCACTCCGGCGGCGGAGGCAGAAGGACTGCTTACAAGCCCAGGAGTTCTAGGTCAGACTGGGTAGCAGAGTGAGGTGGCCATTTCAAAAAGAAAAAAAAAAAAAAAACCATTCAGTAACTTGGCGCTGAAATGTGAAGCTACTGTCGAAGCAGAAACTACGGGGAAAGAGCAATGTTTACTTTGAAACTGGGTAGCTTGCCTAACGGAGCGCGGTTCCTCACAGGCACGTTGTAGCTGTGTGTGCAAAGGGTCTGAGACAAGACAGAACACGCAGATGAAGCTGCTGCTCACTGAGCGGCACACACAAGAAAAGGCCATATATACTAGTCAAGAAAGCTTAGGGACTGACCCCACAGAAGGCTAAACCCTAACGAAGAAAGAAAACCATCATCATTCCTGGCAGGCCAGTACCCCAGGGGAAGTAGAGAGGGACACTCGAGCAAGTCCTGGCCACTGTACTCCGTGTGTTTTCCTCCTATCACAACGACGTGTGATACGTTATCTGTGAATCTAAGACAGCACTTGTAAAGTACTGAGTGAGTTTCAATTGTGGCTGGTATAAATCAGAAGTACATTTAATAATGCGCTTTTTTTTTTAAATAATGAGCTTTATAACATGTTGCCTTGGTTTTGGTGAAATCTAACACAAGATATACTGAACATCTAAACACCCACAAGTCAGTAAGGCACAACAATCCGTTTTGTTGTTGTTGTTCTTTGTTTTTTAAGGCAAAAGAGCTGCACAAGTACATGATTGCAGAACCTAACAGAGTAATAAGCAAGGATTTGACAGGACGCCCAAACTCTCAAAAACTAGACAAACACAAAACCAACACAATCTTAAGTTGTTTTACTTTCTTTTCCTTGTTTAGTTTAGTTTTGATATTGTTTTCAAAACAGGGTTTCTGTGTAGCCCCCACTATCCTGAACTTGTTTTGTAGACCAGGTTGACCTCGAACTCAGGGATCGCCTGCCTCTGCCTCCCGAGTGCTGGGATTAAAGGCGTGCACCACCACCGCCGGCTTGATTTGTTTTTCTTTTTGCTCTCTGTGGTACAGGGATTGATCCCAGAACAACTTTGTGTGCGACAGAAGAATGCTCAACCATTGACCTGTATACACTCCAGCCCTTGCTGTATACTACTTAAGACATCAGAAAACTGGGTTTTGTCAGGTTGTATGGGATGAACAGTTATAGACCTGGTCTAACACAGACAGAAGTACCTGGTAAGCCAAATTCCTCCCATCCACACCTACCCCACTCCTGGCCCACCAACCCAGGCATCCTCTCAAGAACTCAGGATACTCCCACATTGTAGGCGCCAACATGAGGATGGGGCCAGCCCTGAAGCGGGCTCAGCAACAGGTGAAACACTTAGCAACCAGCAGGTAAGACATACACGAAGCTGAAACAAACTACAGAGTGGTACGTGCTGGAGCAGCCTACAGGGAAGGTAGCAAGAACGGGAGCGGTCTGACGGCAGGACCAAAGGAAAGATGGGACTCGCTGGGCAGTGGTGGCGCACGCCTTTAATCCCAGCACTCGGGAGGCAGAGGCAGGCGAATCTGTGAGTTCAACACCAGCCTGATCTACAAGAGCTAGTTCCAGGACAGGCTCCAAAACCACAGAGAAACCCTGTCTCGAAAAAACCAAGATTGGACTCAAGGTATCACTGGCACTCTGGTTCCAGAACAGTTTTCTCTGGAGACTCCTCGAGCTAACAAAAAGATTGTTTTTCTTTCTCTTTGTTGTTGTTGTGTGTGTGCGTTTTAAAGCTATTTCAAGCATGGGTTCTATTTCTCACACGGTAATTTAATAAGCTTAGGAAAAACAGAGGTTTTACTAGTTCCCAGAAGCGTCCCTACCTAGTAAGGACTAAGCTGGATGGGTGACATGTATAAAGCCTGGAACTGGGCTGGCACACTCAGATTCAAGGTTTAGCCCCTAAGGCGGGGCAGTTAGCATCCACATCCCCTGTCTCGGACAGGTGAGGGGTGGATGTATGGACTGGATCCCCAGGTGTAGCCTCACCTAGTCCAGCCACACTGCTGTGGTTCTCCAGCATCACCTCCCTGTAGAGGGCCCTCTGGCCAGAATCCAGACATTGCCACTCCTCCCGAGAGAAGTGCACAGCCACGTCGCCAAATGTCACCGCCTCCTGAAATCAGGACACACACTAGCACCCCAGAAGTCCGTAGGTGCCAGCTCCAATCTGGCTCTACAACATATCTCAGGCAAGTGACCCATAGGAGCGGACTAGAGTCACAGGAGTCCTTTCAGCTCTTAAATCAAAGGTGGAGAGGAGGGACTTAGCCCATGTAGTGATCGTAATTCCTCTCCATCATAGTGGAGAGAAGGGACTTAGCCCAAGTAGTGATCGTAATTCCTCTTCACTGAACAGGCACAGCTAGGCTCTGGTCTGGGTAGACATTTACTCCCTGCCTCAGACACTGAGGCTGGCAAGAGCCACAGGAGGGCCAAAGCTAGAACTGTGTTCAGGCCCAGTGGAAAGGCAGATCCCCAAAGTAGGAAGTGGAGGCTTGACAGAACCAGTGGGGGATGCAGGGAGCCAGGCTTCCTACCATCAGATTTGGAGGGTGGTGTCCACTTGCCTTGACTCAGACACCTGTGAGAAATTATGAAAAGACGAGAGGTCAGGGCGGAGGAGGCTCCCAATTCCCAGAGTAATCCAGGGGTTTCTGCAACCCCTGCTTCTTCACCACCAACCCCAGGCATACAGGGACACCAGACTGGGCAAACACAGCCCTGACACTTGTGTATCAGCCACCGAGCCCCTTGCCTGTGTGGGGTTGCGGGGTTGAATCACTTCACAAACACATTAAGAATCGTTGCCGGGGGCCACACATTCAACTAAACCACGGGAGAGGCAACCGTGAATTTGCAAGAAGTTTGCCTTCATGAGACACCTAGAAGAGACAAATAACCACACATAAAACCACAACTGTGATAGTGCTGAAGGAAGGGGACTAGAAACGCGGTTAAATGAGAAGTCCTGGTAAAGTCCGAAATAGTCTTCCCCCAGGGGCCTGGGCCAAAGTGATGGTGGAGCAAAGTGAGCCAGTATGTGGACCAAAGAAAGCAACCGAAGCAGTTAACCGGAAGCAGGAGACAAGGCTTAGGAGAAAGGATTTCAGGGGGAAAAACTGAACCCCTGTTCACAAGGATCTAAATTCCAGGATAGGCTACAGCTGCCCTAAGTCATAAGGATTCCAGAAGTCCCCCTCAGCCAAAGCAAAGCAAAGCCCTTAGGCCCCTCCCTAGCCCCTCCTCCCCCCCCCACCCCCGGGAGGGGTCAGAATGGGAGGACGCTGGCTTCCTCCGTAGCTTTTGGACAGGTGTCTGGCCATTGGCTGGCCCAAGCAGCAGTGAACACTGGAAAAGCATTCCTCTCTCAGACCCCAGCATTTGGACAGCCAATGGGAAATCGCGGTCCCAGACAGAGGACAAACCCTGAGCTGCCATCTAAGTCCAAAACCCTGACAACACTTTCAGCCTCTGTCACTGACTCTAGGCTTTCAAGGTGCAGAACTGGGGGGGGGGGGGGGGGGGGGGGCCCCGGGAAGTGGTTATTCAGGAAACTAGGGAGGCGGCAGGCGGGTCCAGTCCTGGAGGGAAGCCGCCTAACTCAGGCCCAACACTGGAGCTCGGGAGCAGGCTGGAGGGGCTGTGGTGCTCGGCTATTCCACTAGCATCCGCGGGGACCAAGTCCCGGGCGAGGCACTAAAAACAGCCCCGAGCCGCCCACGCCTCTCATCTCTTCTGGGGGCCCCTTGCCCTGACGACAAGGAATGCAATTGCGCCGACTCACCCAGCCTGGGCGCGTCTGGGACCCGCCAACAGAGCGAGCCGCCGGAAACAGCTTCGCACGCCCATCCCTCCGCGTCCCGCCCAGTATACTTCCGCCCGTTCAGATCCGTTCAGATCAGAGCATCTCGATGGTTCCCCATCCCCGCCCCCGAGGTTACAGGAGTAGGGACGGGTCCAGACGCGCGTGCTCGTTCCCTTGCTGTCCCTCCCTCCCTCCCTCCCTCCCTCCCTCCCTCCCTCTCTTTGCATCTGCAGAGTTTGGGGCAGGGAAAAGACTAACATGTGGAGGCTAGCACAGGACTTCTCTAGGAAGGTCCAGGGGAGGTGCAGAGTCTGACTGACACAGGAAGAAAAAAGACACTTCCAACAAGGTTCAAGGAACAGAGAGGTCTGTGGGAGCACCAAGTGAACCCAGAAGCAGGTCAGTTCTGCTGGTGGAAGTGACAAGGCTGGGGACTGAGAAGCAGCAGCCATGTGATAAAAGCATCCTATGAGCACAGCATAGGTAAGGCTACTTTGTGTATTCACTGTGGCTAAAACTAAAGGCCAAGAGGCCATAAAGGTTCAGTGAACAGATACTGATAGCAGGGATGGAGAGAAGCTCTTCCATTTAGGAGAAAGTTCAGATAGACTGGCATGGGTAGGGGGAGGAAAGGCCCCACTAGACTCTGGGTTTCATGTACCTGGAGGTGATAGAGAATCTCAGGATGTGAGGCCTCACACAGTAACACTGCATGAATCTTAGGCGGACCTGGACACCTTGTGTCTCTGATGACACTGATGATATCCCGGTCTGTTTGCCTGGCCTACGTACACAAGTTTTTATGTACACATTTTTTCTTCT